GTTTTAATGTGCTTGTATTCATGTATTGCTGGTCATAGAAATGTTGGCAACTAGAAAGGAATTGGGGAAAGACACACACACACACACACACACACACACAGATTTTTTAAAACTCAGGTTTCCATAATTACAGAGTTGCTCTTTATATCTTAATGGGATGCAAGGCAGCTAAAACAGGAATTTGAAAATGCTATGGCATACAAAAAAGGAAAAACATTTGAAAAGACCATATTTTCTTATGTCATTTATCGTAGAAAATCTTTTTTATTTTTTTATTTTTTTATTTTTATTTTTATTTTTTAAATATATTTTATTGATTTTATACAGAGAGGAAGGGAGAGAGATAGAGTTAGAAACATCGATGAGAGAGAGTCATCGATCAGCTGCCTCTTGCGCACCCCCTACTGGGGATATGCCCGCAACCAGAGTACATGCCCTTGACCGGAATCGAACCCGGGACCTTTCAGTCCCCAAGCCGACGCTCTATCCATTGAGCCAAACCGGTCCCGGCTTTTTTTTTTTTTTTTTAATAAAACTCTTTCAAAAGAAATAACGTTCATACACCAAAACAGCCAAAACAGCAATACTCTTTACTCCTGATTATTAGTACAATTATCTGCTTTTATAGGATTATTCAATAACTTATTCTTTCAACTTTGGGTAAAACTTTTAACAAAAAACACACACACAAAAAAAACACATTGAAACCTGTAAAGAATTTTTGTGAGTTTATTTGAGCCAAACTTGTCGACATATGCCAGGAAGCAGAACCTCAATGAATTGAGACAATGCTCTGAAGAATGGCGGGTTACATTTCTATTTATCCATTGCAATCAAAGGAGGGACATAGGTGGGTTACATGAAATTCATTGTGATGGATTAAGGAGGCGGAAGAAAGCAAAGCGGTGAGATTTGGATAAAAGGTAAAATGAAGGACACATACATAGGTGGGTGCAAGAACAATTTACATGATAGGGAATGAAGGAATTTGAGGCATCTGTCCTAGCTCCCACCACATTTGGTTGTGCCTCAGGGGCTCCAGAAAAAGGGAAGTTACAAGTTAATCAGACATCTCACAGATATGTTATCTTAGAGGCAAAAAGGCCAATGGGCTCAGTAAAGAAGATCTAAGTTGATATTTGTCAGGGAAAATATTGGTCTAGGACTTGACTACCGACTATAACCTGTTTGTAGTTAAATATTTAATTCTCAAACCATCTTTTATGGTTATTTTAATTTTCAAACCATCTCCGAGTTTGCAAGACTGCCACACAACTGCCACGCAGACCGCCCCTGAGCTTATCAGGTTAGCATGTGGCTCCTTTCGTCCACACTTTTTTATAGGAGTTTGTTTTGCTTCTAACCATATCAGCAGGATCATAGAGGGTATTAAGGTGCCTTGAGGGGTGTTGAGCTGTTGTTTGGGATAATTTTTAAAGCTCTGACCTAAGGCAACATTTTGAGAGACCAATAGCATTTTCTTTCACACTGTGGTCCAAAGAAACACATTTGTCCTTCTATATTCCACTACAGTAGCAATTGGTTAGGAGAGTTTACACTTTCCATTCAAAAACTGTTGAAAAAGCACATCAGATTTGCATTTCAACAATGAATGGCAACCATTACAGGCATGTCACCTGAAACAAAAGCATTTGGGGTATTAAAAAATAAATGCTTTTGTAAAATACACAAATGGCCAATTATATAAACATATAATCATTCAGGTATTAATATCACAAAACAAATAGAATCTTTTCAAACGTTATTAGATTTTTATTACATATCACTTTCACTATTTCTCAGCACCAAAATTTTGCACCTAGCACAGAGCTCCACATTAGCAAAGTTAATTTTTTTTTTTTTTTGTAGTCGTGCTTTTGGGGGGTTAGTGAAACCATAGAAAAATCAACACTATAGGATAGTTTTGATACAGGATATACTTGGAATATTGAGGGTGTACTTGTGTCCAATAATATAAGAGAATGGTGACATGAATTTGAGAGATGAATGAGAGGAAAAGTTTAGAGAAACCTAAAGGCTACAAGTTGATTTGACAACTATGTCCAGATTCTGCACAAGACTATAGCCATTGTTTACACTAAAAAAAAAAAAATAAAAAAAAATATATATATATTATTGATTTTTTACAGAGAGGAAGAGATAGGGACAGAGAGCTAGAAACATCGATGAGAGAGAAACATCGATCAGCTGCCTCCTGTACAGCCCCCACTGGGAATGTGCCCGCAACCAGGGTATAATACATGCCCTTGACCGGAATCGAACCTGGGACCTTTCAGTCCGCAGACTGAAGCTCTATCCACTGAGCCAAACCTGTTTCGGCCAGTTTACACTTTTACAAGCACCTCAGAAAGGACTGTAGATGTTATGGTGCAAAAGTTCCCGAATCTAACCATACAGGTTTTGTCCCCCAACTTAGAACCTAGTTTAAAAAAATTCTATCTAGGGTTTGCCAAATTATTTTTATTTTTTAAATTCCAGGGCCAGAAATATTTTCGCCTACTAGAAAAAAAAAATGCTTATAGGATGTTTTAACATGTGAATGCCAGGGAAGCAACTTCACCAAATTGCCTCCCATCCAAAGCAGCATTGCTTCTGTAGAAATACGCCCAGACCCATGCAGGTGTTTTGTTTTTCAACTCGAAGTGCCCCTGGTTCTTAGCAGTCTCCACTTTTCCCTGCACTCGTGCTGCCACCCAGCCTGGGTCCAACCGGCGGGGCTGCGGCCCGGACCCTCCCATAGAGAGCCCTCCCCGCCGGAGGCAGCTCCACCTGTTGCGGTCAGTTGGCTCCCGGAGCCCGGGACGCGGCTTCTCCCCGCAGGTGGGGCCGTTTGCCCAGCGTTCCACCCTCTGGAGCCCCCCGGGGCGCCGGGGCAGTCAGTTAACTGCAAACAGCTGCCGGGGCTGCGCGGCCGGCTGGCCCCGCCGGGCGGAGGGCAAGGGACCGCATGGCAGCCGCCGCCGCGCCGCACAAAGGGCGGCACCTACGGAGAGGGGCCCCCGGCCCGCAGGGGACCCAGCGGAGCCCGCAGGCCCCGGCGCCTGAGCAGCATCCTGCGGGGGCCCGGGCGGCGCCAGGTGCGCGCGGTCCGCGCGGAGGGCCCCGCCGCGCGCCCAGAAAGCCTGACTCATGTCGTGTCGTGGCGGTGGCGGCGGCGGCGGCGGCTCCTGAGAGCTGGAACTCGTGATGCCGCTGCCGCCGCTGCGGAGAGAAGCCTCATTATCCATTCCGCAGGGGAGGACACCTCCCCGGGCGCGCACACCCGGCACCAGCTGCGGCGACCTCCCCGCCGCGCGCCCGCCCCGCCCCGCCGCGTGCCCGCGCGACGGCCGCGTGTGGAAAGGAGTGGACACACCTCGCCCGCGCGCGCCCCGCATCCCGCCCCGCCCCCACCCGGGCGGTCTCGCGGGCCCACCCGATCCGCGCCCCGGCGAGGTTCCCCACCCCCACCCGCCCGGGTCTCGGCGCCGCCGCCGGGTCTTCGGCAATTTCCGTCAGAACGCCCGGCGCACGCCGAGGCCCCGAACCCCCGCCGCCTCCCTCGCCGCCGGACCCGGCTTTATGTCTGCGGCGCCCGCGCGCATGCGCAGACGCCATCTTCCCTCCCCGGCCGGTCTCCTCCCCCCGCCGCCGCCGCCGCCGCCGCCGCCGCCGCCGCCGCCTTCCCCGGCCGGCGTTCGCCCCTCCTCCTCCTCCTGCGCTCGGGCGCTGGTCCCTCCCCTCCCGATGCCGCGAGAGACCGGGGGATACCGTGGAGCCGGAGGAGAGCGCTAGTAGCCACCACCTCCGCCCCCTCCCCGCCCGCCGCCCGCCCGCAGCGCTCGCCCGCCCCGTCTGCCGACACCGGCCGGCCCCACCTCTCGTCCCTTTGAACGGCATCGGCTGCAGTCGCTGCACCAGCCCGTCTGGCCGCCAACGCCGCTGAGTGAGGAGCCGCCGCCGCCGCCGCCGCCCCTCCCGCCCGGGCCGCGGAGCCGCGGAGCCGAGGACCAGCCGGGCGCGGAGGACGAGGACCAGCGCGGCTCGCACCCTCCGCGCCAGCGCACGTCTCGCCGCCCGCCCTCCGGGGAGGCTCGGCGCCGGCCCCCCGCTCCTCGAGGACGCGTGCCCCGAGGGAGGAAAATGCTCGGGCTCCATGGCTGCCAGTGATGGAGCGGTCCCTGAGCGCCCGCCGCCGCCGCCACCGCCGCCGCCGCGCCCCGGCCGAGCCCCGCGAGGACCCGGCGCCTCTGCGCGCCCGCCCGCGCCCCGCCGCCGGGCTCAGCGTACCGGGCGCCCCGCCGCCGCCGCGCTCCCAGCCTCGTCGCCGCGGCCCCAGCCTCGGCCAGCGTTCCCTCCCGGAGCAGCCGCCGCGCGCCCAGGGGGTTTGAAAGGGTCCGCGGGGCGCGGGGGGAGGGCCGGGCGGGGACTGCGGGGCCCGGAGGGGAGGTTGGAGCGGCGCTGAGCTCGGCGCTCGCTCGCCGGCGGCGGGGCCGGGGGCGGCGAGGGGAAGGCGACACCCGCTCCGCGCTGCCTCCGTGCAGGGCGACCGGGGGGAGGGCTCCGCTGCGGCCGCCGCCGGGGCTGCGGGAGGAGGGGTGAGGCAGCCTCCGAGGGGTCCGGAGAAGGTGGGCATTTCTTGGTTTTCCCCAGCCCCTCTCCTCCTGTCTCCCCCGCCCCTTGTCCTCCCCTCTCTCCCTCCCTCCCGCCCGCCCCGCACCCCACGTGAAGCGGGATATAAAGGGGGTGTGAGCCTAGCGGGGCAAGTGAGTGGTGGCGGACTGAAGGGGTCCCCTCTCCGGGTCCCCGCCCGCCCTGTTCACCCTCGTTCATCCTCCCTTCCCGAAGCTCGCCCTCGGAGGCAGGAGCGGCCCGTGCCTTCGGCTGAGGAGGAGGAGGAGGAGCGTCGGGCCCGTTTTCCTCCCCGGCGTCTTGCATACAAAGATTACCGTGCAGAAGGAAATTGCACTCGCCTCCTCCGCCCCCCCGTACCCGACACAATGCATCAGCCGCCCGAGTCCGCCGCCGCCGCCGCCGCCGCGACCGCTGCAGACATGAGCGCCAGGAAGATGGCGCACCCGGCACTGTTCCCTCGAAGGGGCAGCGGCAGCGGCAGCGGCAGCCCCTCTGCCCTCAGTGCAGCAGGTACCGGCGTGGGTGGGAATGCCACAGCTCCCGAGGACTTTCCGCCCCCGTCGCTGCTCCAGCCGCCGCCGCCGCCTGCAGCATCCTGCGCGCTGGGACCGCAGCCTCCGCCTCCACAAAGCCTGAACCTCCTCTCGCAGGCTCAGCTACAGGCGCAGCCTCTCGCCCCGGGCGGCGGCACTCAGATGAAAAAGAAAAGTGGCTTCCAGATCACGAGCGTTACCCCGGCCCAGATCTCCGCCAGCATCAGCTCCAACAACAGCATCGCCGAGGACACGGAGAGCTATGACGACCTGGACGAATCCCACACGGAGGACCTGTCGTCGTCAGAGATCCTCGACGTGTCCCTCTCCAGGGCCACTGACCTGGGAGAGCCGGAACGCAGCTCCTCGGAGGAGACGCTAAATAACTTCCAGGAAGCGGAGACACCTGGGGCAGTCTCTCCCAACCAGCCCCACCTTCCTCAGCCTCATTTGCCTCACCTCCCACAACAGAATGTTGTGATCAACGGGAATGCTCATCCGCACCACCTCCACCACCACCATCACGTCCATCACGGGCACCACCTCCACCATGGGCACCACCATCCTTCCCATGCTGGTGTGGCCGGTGCGTCCATTCCTGGAGGGCCGCCCCCAAGCCCGCTCTCCAGAAAACTCTCCACAACTGGAAGCTCTGACGGTGGTGTGCCCGCTGCACCAACTTCTGCTGTATCATCGGGTGGCTCACCTGCATCTGTAATGACTAACGTCCATGCTCCCGGTGCTGCGGGCGGTATAGGTATAAATTCTGCCACTGGCACTAATCCAGTGAATAATGTTAACGTGACTGCCGTGGGTAGTTTTAATCCCAATGTGACAAGCAGCGTGCTTGATAATGCTAATGTAAATACAAGCAATATTCCTAGTGCTGTTAGCGGGAGCGCCGGGCCTGGAGTTCCCGGCGGTGTTAATGTGAATATCTTAAGTGGCATGGGCAATGGTACTATTTCTTCCTCGGCTGTGGTTAACAGCGTCCCGAACGCAGCTGCAGGGATGACTGTGGGATCAATTTCAAGTCAGCAGCAACAACCAACCGTTAACACGTCAAGGTTCAGAGTTGTGAAGTTAGATGCTAGTTCTGAACCCTTTAAGAAAGGCAGATGGACTTGCACCGAGTTCTATGAAAAAGAAAATGCCGTACCTGTTACCGAAGGTGTGGTTATAAATAAAGTGGTGGAAACTGTAAGACAAAACCCAATAGAAGTGACTTGTGAGAGGGAGAGCACCAGTGGGAGTTCGGTGAGCAGCAGTGTCAGCACCCTGAGCCACTACACGGAGAGTGTGGGAAGCGGGGAGATGGGAGCCCCTCCTGTGGTGGTGCAGCAACAGCAGCCGCCACAGCCAGCCCTGCAAGGGGTGGCCCTCCAGCAGATGGACCTGAGCAGCGCTGGTCCGCAGAGTATCCCGGCAGTGAGCGTACCACAGAATGTTTCTCAGCCACCGATCTCGCAAGTACAGCTACAGCCTCAGGAACTGAGCTATCAACAAAAGCAAGGCGTTCCACCAGTACCTCTGCAAGCCACTATCAATGCTGCAACTGGTATCCAGCCACCACCTGTTAATGTCGGGGTAACTTCAGCGTTAGGTCAGCAGCCTTCCATTCCTAGTTTGGCTCAACCCCAACTGCCATACTCTCAGACGGCTCCTCCTGTGCAAGCTCCCCTCGCAGGGGCGCCCCCCCAGCAGTTACAATATGGACAACAGCCGATGGTTTCCACACAGATGGCCCCAGGTCATGGTCAGCCAGTGACTCAAATTCCTACTGCGGAGTATGTGCAGCAGCAGCAGCCAATTCTTCAAACAGCAGTGCCCGCTGGTCAGCCCAGTTCTGCAGGAGTGGGAGGAGGAACCACGTTGATTCCTATGGTTCAGCCACAGAGTATCCAGTTGCCAGTGCAGCCCCCAGCCGTCCAGGCACAACCTGCAGGGGCACCGGGCCAGCCTGTTGGCCAGGTTCAAACGGCGGTATCTGCTGTACCTCCTCCCGGCAGTCAAGTTGCAAATATTGTTCAGCAAGCAAACGTACCCCCTGCAATGCAGCAGGTCTCTTCCCAAGTCACACCTTCAGTTGTTCAGCAAGGTGCTCCTCCATCTTCACAAGTAATTCCACCTGCTCAAACCGCGGTTACTCATCAGGGAATTCAAACTAGTGCTTCAAGCCTTCCTCCACAATTGGTCATTGCACCCCAAAGTACACTGTTACCTGTGCCTCCCCAGCCACAGCAAGGAGTAGAATCAGTAGCTCCAGTTGTCGTCTCACAGCAGTTGCCTGCAGTTAGTCCTGTACCCTCTGCCAGTAGCATTTCTGTTACAAATCAGGTCAGTTCAGCTGGTCCTTCTGCAATGCCTTCTGTTCCAACAAACTTGGTTCCACCACAGAATATAGCACAAACCCCTGCCACTCAAAACGGTAGTGTGGTTCAAAGTGTTAGTAGTCAACCTCCCTTGATAGCAACTAATATAAATTTGCCTTTGGCACAGCAGATTTCACTCAGTTCTCAGTTCTCTGCACAATCATTAGCTCAGGCAATTGGAAGCCAAGTTGAAGATGCCAGGCGCGCAGCGGAACCCTCTTTAGTTGGCTTTCCTCAGACTGTCAGTGGTGACGGTGGGGGAATGTCGGCAGTTTCAGATGGGAGTAGCAGCAGCCTAGCAGCCTCTGCTTCTCTTTTCCCGTTGAAGGTGCTACCGCTGACGACACCCCTGGTGGATGGAGAGGATGAGAGGTAAGATCATGCCGTATTTCTGCAGACATTCAAAAGACTCAGTTTATTTAGTAGGTGTGTGTGTGTGTGTGTGTGTGTATGCACAAATTAGTCGAAAGCACTTTTTTTCACTTTTGTATGTGAAAATTCATTTTTGTGATGTTTTCTAGAGCAAGAGTGTTATGGAATGGTTTCAGAGTGGATAGGAAATGGTGTAAGTAATATGTAAACATTTGAAAGTGTAGTTATTGAGCATTAAGGATAGGTTTGGGAGCACTAAGTGGTTTTTATTTATAAAATGCTTTTTAAAAGGTTATGAACAGAAACTTAGCTTTTGCTAACCCATATAACAGTTTATTCTTTTGAATTACTAAAATCCTTACCATCTTCTCTTGGGAGGGGTGTGGTTCCCACATTTGTTTCTCCCTTACTAGACTGGACAATCTTTTACAGTTCTGTTTATCTTAGTCTGTGAAAGATACTGTTACCTGCTTTTCCTAGTCAGACATTATAGGAAAGATGACTTGATCTGGATTATATAGATTGCTTTCATACTGTAATTAATCAACTTTGTGTTCTTATTTAATGCTCATTTTGTCTGAGGAGGAATGGGAATTTTCAAAAAAAAATTTTTTTTGTGGGGGAGGAGGGCATACGCTGTCAAAACAGCCAGATTTATTTTTGATGGTAGTATGCTCTGCATTTTTGAATAATAGATGGAGGTAGCCATTTTAAGAGTATAAGAAAGTAAGTCTTGGGGGGTTGAATTTAGAGAGACATGGGAATAAGACTTTATTTTGCTAATCTACTCCACCTGTTCCCCGTCTTCGCTTAAAAAAAAAAACCCATAAAGCCTAAAATTTATTATTAAGCTAGTGTTTTCTTAATTGAATTGGAACTAATGTGCTAATCACACTTATTGAATTAAATTGTGTCTTTAAAGCCCACTAGCTAGAAAAGTTGTGAAATCTCTCGATTCTAAATTGCTATAAACTAAGTTGACTTTAAAGAAATGTTTTCATAGATTTGCCAGTCTGACTAATCTTGATCAAAATAATATCAAAGGAGTTATGACAAAGGCTATACATTTTCACTGTGGAACTGTACGCTAGAAAGACATTTAATTATTTTAGTTTTAGTCGGAAGTTTTTTTGATTGACTTTTCATTAAACCAGTTGGAACATTTATATCCTAAATGTATATTAGGAGTTTTCACTTTGGAAGAATTGGAGATATTTCAAAAGATTGCAGTTTTAGAAAAAGACCAACTTTCAGCCAGGTTTTCATGATATTTTAGTTACTTAAAAGAAGGTAAAGTCATGGTTTATTGAAATAATTTAAAATCTTTTCAAGATTTTTATTATTTTTCTAATAGTCATATAATTAAAATATTGTTATCTACCAAATGTATTGTGTACCATACACAAAACTGCACTTTAACAGATAGATCTTTTGTAGGAGGTAGTTTTCTTAATAGCCTATTATAATTATTATTAAATTTTTAATTTTATCATATGCTAATACTCTTCTGTAATTGCTAATATTCACCTATAATTTTAAAGAATTATATGTGCCCCAAATATTAATGTTTTCTAAATCTAAAGGGTGAAGTTCTTATAAAATTAGGTGGTAAATTTAGAGACATGGAAGACTGGTGAAATACATAAATGAAAACCACATACTGTATTTTGAATTCAAACCTGCCATGATTTTTGTTAATTAGCATTTGTGGTCTCCTGGCATGACTTTCCCTTTTTTTCTCCTGGTGGTTGGACCTGATAGAACTTCCCTCAAATTGCTGTTCCCGACAATTAAAGTCAGATGTTGCTACCTTCAACTAGGTTTTTAACTGTAGGGATAGAGTTCCAGTTTAAGGTATTAGTACAAAATTAATTTTTCCATTTAGTAAATGGATAAAGATTAATTAGGCACAAATTATGTATAGAAAAGTTTGGAATTAAAGGGACATAAAGAGATACTAAGAAATCTGATTAAATATTGATAACTTAAACATCGTTAAGGTAAATTTTGTAACTTGAGTTGACTGATTTGAATTTACTACACATTTGAGCTTTTGTTAACATCAAAATGAAGTCATCAAACCTGGACCATTTTTCTTTCAAGGTTATTTTTTAAATTCTGAAAAATGAAATGTTTAATCCCTAAAAACACTCTAAAGGTCAGAAAGGATAAATATATATTTTCTTTATTGTGTTTGGCTACCGATTATTTCTTTTGTCACTATAGTTGGGAAAAAGAAATGTTTTATTTAAATTGCACTTGAAAGGAAATCTGAGAATGTCTACAAGAGAAAAGTGATAATGACTTAAAAAATGATTTTTCTCTTTTCTTCTCATTAGTTTCTGTGTCACTTGCATATTCTGGGCTTGGTCACCTGTTTGTCTCTCATGGGAAAAAGTGGTATATTGTAATTTAAATATTATGACTTAAAAAACATGTTAACTTTTGGGTGGTAGCACAAGTCAAGGGTAATCTTTTGTAATAACACTCAATACTTTAAATTTTAAAATGTTTATTAGACATGTGGAAATGCTTTTTGGTCGCCAGGAGAGACTATAAACATTAGAAACATGGATCAGACAGTAAGATTACATACCTTGTTTTTAAAGTGATTCTCACTAAAAAGGTCTTAATTTCTAATTTTAGTGTTTGGCATGAACTTAACTTTTCAACACAGGGAAAGATAGAGATATTTGACACTGATATATATATATTTTTGTGTTTTCTGATTATTAGTATAGTCTCTTATGTGAAATTATTCAAACTTCTATTCATTCTTCAAGACAGCCCAGATGTTCTCTGCAGCATTCTCTTTACCCAAGGAATGTTGTTTCCTTAGCACTTTTTGGTGTTCTTCTGTATAGGTACTCACATTCAATTTATGTTTACTTACCTTACCCACAAGACTGAGTTCCTCCAGGGCCAGAACTAAATATTTTTTCAACAAATTAATGAGCAGACTTTCCCATGCCTTTTCAATCATGATTTAAATTTTATACTGTCATGTGTGAGAGATGCAGAATCATATAATTTATGCAACAAATTGAAAATAAATGAATAAGATTTGCTTTTTGTACCTCTTTTACCTCACCATTCCTTGAGGTGAATTGATACTGACCTTCTAAATATAATACCTATTATATAGTAGGCCTCGAATATTTATTAAAGAGAAATGAGAACTATTTATAAAATAGGAGTTATATTCATTTTGCCTATTTTAGAGGGTGGTAGCATCAGCTAAATACATTAACTGTGAAATACTAAATTATAAATTTAAATTTTATTTAGGGTGTACCCACGCAGAGAGTCAAATAATTTACATGGCCATCAACACAAAAACTTCCTTCCCTCTTCCTTTCCATTTTCACTTTTCCAGAAGCAATCACTTTCACCTTCTATAAGTGATTATTGTGGTAATACCTTATAGTCTCTAAATAACTTGTATGGGTTACAAGCATGGACTCTGGAATTAGACTGCTTAGGTTTATCAATTACTAGTTTTATGTAACGTTGAATTACTTAAACTCTGTGTCTCAGTTTACTCATTTTAAAAAATAGCGATTAGTTGTACCTAATTCATAGGTTTGTTATATGAATTAAAGGAATTTGGAAAGCCCTTAGAACTGTGCTCATATGCCCTGCATAAGTATATGTTAAATAAAATAGATCTTTTCTTTTTGGCATTATTAGCTTCTGGGGTAGAAAAATGAAGATTTCATTTTGTTGTCATCACATACGTAGCAATATTCCTTCCTCTTAATAGTTATGATGATTATATCACTGTTGATTATTCAGTATTCCTGTAAAACATGATTACTTTTCCTTTCCTGTACAATGCCCTGCACTTGCCTGCCTTCTTTCATCCCACCCCAACTGTCTAGTAAATATCGTATACTACTATAGTATATAATATATACACACATATATATATAGTTCTCTTTAGCATATAGAACTGTTTGTGAGTTTTTCCTCCTCCTCCCCTCCCCACCAAGGTTTCCTGTATCAGCATAGTCTGTTTCCTTCAAGTGCATTTTGCCCATGTTTGTATGTTTTGGGCTTCACATTTTGTAATAGAGCCTTTTATTAGGTGTCTAGTAATTCTTGGTTGTCTGTTTGTATTTAAGCGTAAGAGACTAAAGAGCTAATAAGGAATTCTTAATTATATATCTGTATATCAACAGTTATGACCAATTCAAGTTTCCTTCAGATGTCTTTCAAGATGTTGAGACATATCAGGCATTGTTATCAGTTTTACCTTACTGAGGAAGTCTCTCAAATCCCCCTGACCTCCATTATGGACCGCCCTGTAGATTTGGTACACAACTTTTATCATGGGATTCCCTTCATTTTTTCCTGTGGTTGGATCTCTATTTGTCCAGTGACCCATGTAATGTTTATTTTTGGTTTACTTGATGTTTTAAAACTGCTTTAATTTACTTTAACACTCTTTTTATTCTTTGGTTAGGTAAAGAATAGAATGGAAGTTGGGAAATTGTGTTAATTTATAATTTTGTTCTATTGATAGCTTCCTAATTGCTTTTGAAGAGTTTGAAGCCATTTTGATTCCTTCTATAGTGTGTGACCTGTACGTGTTTTCGTTTTTCCTTTTTCCCCTCCTAGTTTCCTCTCCTTCCTTCTTCTCTCATTGACATCTCTGAAAGCTCTAAAATTGTACTTGTTTCCAGAGTTCTGAAATTTTACAACAAGAATGTTCTAGTGGGTCTCTTTTCATCCACTGTGCTGAGTACTTGACCTGACCTTTCAGTCTGGAAGCATATATATAAATATACTTTTATATATATGTTTTGGAAGCATATTTTTAATCCTGGGATTATTTTCTTGAATGAGGTTGAATGATTCTTTCCATTTTTTCCTTCCTCCCTTCTCTTTTCCTTTCTCAAACTCTTATTGGAATAATGGATCTTCTTGACCAGTCTTCGAATTTACTTTCCCATTTTTCATCTCTTTTTTTGCTCTACTTTTATTGAGTTTTCCTTTAT